CAATTTCTACAGTGGATGCGTCCAATTTTACAGTCTGCTTGGTTTTTGCTAATTCAATCAAAAATAAATAGGTACACAAAATACAATGGAATATGAAGTAAATAATAGATACACACCAATGGCATCTGGAATGGTGCGTTCGGGATATAAATCCGTTAAGAAGAGACTATTAACGAGCGTGGACTTTCCAAGTCCCGACTCACCGACCACCATGAGCGTGAATTCAAAGCCTTTTTTCACGGACTTGCGGTGTACTTGATTCGGCAGATTGGCAAAACCAACGAATCCAGGTGACTCCACATTGTTGAACTGTTGTTGGAAAATCGAAACAAATTTATTAAGCAAAGCACTCATTAGACGTATCAATCAGTATATGAAAATCAAAGGATTTGTATGGGTAGTGTAACAATATAGCAATAAAAAAAAGACCTTCACTGGCTGAACTTACTGTTTTAATCGAATCGCTGGACATTATTGCTGTCGTAGACACCTGACCAGACTTCAGTGAAAAATACAAAAACAGTAGCAAACTCGCAACAACTAAATACCGGACAATCAACTCTATAGTCTTTATTTGATTGTCTTAAAGAGAGAGACAGAGTCAGAAAGACATCGGCGTCGGTCACTTTCGAGAATACAAATAACAACAACGATAATAACATAAATGTTGATAAGTAATTATTGATAACACCATATTGTTTAAAAATTAAATTATTATGTTAAATTATTTTATTATTCTACCTAAAGTAGTAAACCTTAGATTTAAACCGATTTATTTACTACACCAAATTTATAGTAATAAATAATATAAATTTATATTGTAATAAAATATTGAACTATAATCGTGGTATAGATACGGTTCACGGTTCATAGCGGCGACTGGCGACAGCAAGCACGGCATTTCATTCGGGTTTTTAATAATTATTGTTAGTGACAAAATGTATGTAGGCCATTTTAAAACCATTACCAGACCACAACAATATACTCGTTATGGGTTATACCTGCAGCAAATAGAGGCTCAGATATTTAAAATGTGTACGACGAATAAAATTGAAATATAATGTAATTTTTAGATTATATTTTGATGGGAATTGTGTTTATAATTTCTCATAGTCATGTCGTCATGATCTAACGATTAGGAATTTTATAATTCGTTGTTTGTGGACTGTGGCTGACAGCTGTATAATAATTAATACAAGCGTCAACACTGTGTCACGCGGAATTATCTTTTTGTTATAATTTGTTCCTATATTATATTATTCTCATTTAGACTGACAGTTGATATACATTTTCGGTTTTTTCTCGGCAGTTGGTTAAGGGTTTGACCATTCGGCAAAAATGTTTTGAAAAGGTATAAAAAAAACTGACTCAAAATCAGATTTAACTATTTAAGACGCATTGGTATCGGTGATTTATTTTTAGCAAAGCAGAGACCAATAATAATAAAATTGTACAGTAGATAAGGATAGAGACGATACCGGGCGAGTACCGCGCCGCCGAGCACAACGGAAAAAACAATAACCTAACTTGCTAACTCCTAACGCCGGTCGCCGGCGCCACCGCCCACGTCCCACCGGTCAGATGCTCTGATTAGCAAATGGCATGATGTGGTCACATTCTCACATGGTGCGTACTGCTCGCGGAACCTGCGGCAGTCAACTCTGAACTGAAATCAGAAAGACCGTGCTCTGTACTCGTAACAAAATACTAAATAGATTGAGGATTTTGTCATGGATATACTGAATGCAGTATTTTGTTGTTTGTAACTAAAGATATTAGGTACCTACTTAGAATTAAGGAATTTGTGTGACATTTTGTTAATGTATGTATTGGTGTAATGGGCATTCGCTGTACTAAGTTGATCACAGAAGACAGAAGACAGTGAATTATAAATAATATTATTATTTATTAACCAATTACCAATAATATATTATAGTTTTTCTAATGTCGATTGTCCGTACTCCATACGACTTAAAGACGTCAATATGTAGTGATGGCTTAGATTATCGTAAAGTTGGCAACTTAACGATCACAGTATTGTTTGTTACACCTATAATATTATGGACTCCATATTATTATTTTCTTTTAAAACTGATATCATAATTTTATTTTTTTATCCATGGCCGGTAACTCAAGTATATAGTGTTTACCATGACTATGGATACAATGGTATACATTCGTTGATGGCAGATGCTTATACAGGGCTGCAGAGAAATGCTGCATGACCATGAAGATGAAATGTTCTTATAATCTTATCAAACACCTGCTTAATGCTAGCGCTTTCAGTGTTCAGCGGAACATGTGGAGTACTAACAGTACTATTTAGCCAAAATATAGCCATTGACATTGACCACTAGCCAATGTTAGCCATAAACTATTAAACATGTAGATATGACGAACCCGTAACACAGAATATACACAATATTTGTGAACTTAATAATATGTTAAGCTCTGAATTCGTAGAAAAATGTATTATTTTTAGCATACTGTAGAACAAAGATTTCTTAACATAAAGTTTGAGTTAGGTAGGTAATAGTGAATTCTTTTTGGAAACTCTTATTTTGCAATATTTTTGATATTTTTCATTTTTTAAATACTTGTATCGTTTTATCAATGTTTTTTACAATTTCTATCAATTAAACCTCTTACAAGTATTGATGAATTATTATTTTAATTTTCGTCTTTTTAATATTTAACACGATATATTGTACTCACAAGGCACAACACGCGTTGTACATAATTTATAATTTCCTTAATTTAAAATATTTTGTAAGATTTTTAAAATTCTTTTTAACTATGAATTATAATATTATGTATGTAGGTTATTACAGAATACGGTGCATTTTATAGTGAATTTTTTGATATTAACGCATTTAATAATTGATTTGTGCATACTGCATAGGTTATATAATGCTTTAAATTGACAGTCCTAAACTAATACATAATTTAATTTCATATAGGTCATATCCTGTGATCGTAGCATAGGTCATAGGACATAGTCTCTAGATCAGAGGTTCTCAAAGTGTGGGGCGCGACCCTCCGGGGGGTGCAAGACAATTTTAAAAATCAACATTGCATTGGTAGGACAGAAAAATTCAGATGTCAGCAAAAATTGAGAGTAGCTTTATCAAATATCTCTCCTCGTTTCACCAAACTTTGTGATGAAAAAAAACAAGCCCACCCATTACATTAAAATTGGCCTATTAATTAAAATATTTTATAAAAAATACATTTTATATTAAAATAAATTTGTAATATTAATATCAATATTTGTTGTTTGTTTTTAAATTTTTTTACTTTAAACATGACTATTAAAATTATTTTTATGAGGGGGGCTCATGTTTGGGGTTGACTAAAAGGGGGGGCCTGGCCTAAAAAGTTTGAGAACCTCTGCTCTAGATCATAATATTATAGAGTTATCAGAGAAATATTATAAGTGAAGGTCACAGATTTATATTATAGTAGTATAAAGTTTAATGTTTATAGTAGATGATAACGGGCCGAGAAAATATTTTATTTTTTATCTTACTTTAAAATTATATTCTTTTTTTTATTATTTTGGGGTAGGTATAGATATGGTTATACGATATGCTATATTATGTTAACGTATTTCAACCGATCTGAATCTATTTGATCAAAGATCGAATATCTCGGTAAAAAATGTTCGATCTTATACTTTAAAATCCCCTCGGAATTTTTTGAGAATGGATTAAATTAATAGAACATCTATAGTATAAATTATAAATATTGATATCTTAAGCAGATTGTTAAATCCACTGCTACAGCAACACAAAGGTTTCCAACTAGCAGTGATCAGGTTTTTGTTTTTGAATTTTCGATAAGGAAATGGCACCGTGCCACGGTCAAATATTTATCAATTTTCCTCGTCGTGCAAGTGCGCAATCATTTGCATCAGCGTTTCTCAAACTGTGGTACGAGGACCACTAGTGGTAAAAGCGGTAAGTTCATAGGTGGTACGCTAAGAAAATTTCCCTTTATGAAAAAATGGAATGGATCATTATTCACATTAAATATTATTTGGTTTATTTGATATTAATAATAATTAATAATATAAATAATACTTGTAGGTACGTATTATTTAATTATTTTTTTGTGCATTAAATGCTTATATTATAGTTTTTTAGTTCATAAAAAAATAAAAATCAGTAGGTCATGTAAAATAACGTATACATTATTGAATAAGCAAAAAAAAAGGTCACCCAATAAAGGGGTACATCAAAATAGTTAAAGTAATTAGGTGCTGTGCGAATATAAAAAGGTTGAGAACCGCTGATTTATTTTTAAAATCATGATTTTTACGTAAACTCACTCGTGAATAAAATCACAATAAAAGAAACAGGTTCGAACAACAAAATACGAATATAATATTTTCGTGCGCTTTTCGAGGAGTCTTCAGTGCTCGCAGGGTGAGCCTCACCGTTCCTCACCCTCACATCTACTATTCTACTACCACGTCACTCGATCGGATTATTTTTACAAAAAACAAAAAATAATACAGTATCAACAGCCAATAAAACGTGGCGGACGACTCCCACCCAATTGCCAGATATTGCGTATCAGCGAAGTAACTTTTTGTTGTGATCATCAGTGTACTCATTAATTTGCGTCATGCGTCGACGTATCACGTATTACGTATACAACTTACTGGACGGGACGTCGGGACGTAATATTGTTATTTATCTTACAAGGAGAACGGGGGACTGGGGAGGCGTGGTCGTGATTATTATTACTCGGTCTATTACTGGTAGTGCCAAACGGATTATAAAAGAGCAGATTGCTCGAGTTTTTAAAGAGCGAGAGAAATGTTCTTACCGTGCTCAGAAGTCAGAGGACAGCCAAAGATTAAAAAAAAAAGTAAAAACGAGTCCTTGTAACGGACTCCGCCTACTTGCACGTGTTATCATTCCTATTATCATCCCGAATGTTCTGTCGACCCGTGGTCTATTAATTTTTTTATAGTTGTTTACGACGTCTCATGTCTATAACTCGTCTATGTGTCCAATACCAAGGCGAAGACGAGTTTTGAAATTGGTGGATTTTCAGCGGGACTTGGTTTTTTCCCGAGCCGTGGTTTTCACACACGTCATGTAGATAGTAATTTATTATCTCTATATCTACACATCTGTGGGTATTTAATTTCTTTGGCTCGAGCACATGTGTTTGAACAACTTTACTGATAAACGATTTTCTCTTCCATATTATTGCGTTGCGCAGTAAAACAGAAACGTGCCGGGTTACCGAACGTCGAACACGCAGTTCTCAGAGTTTTTGCGTTTCCAAAGTCACATGGTTTTTTGATGAAAATAATATTTTAGTTTTTAATTTTTAACCAGTTTTAGGTGCTCGCTGTCGTTTTCTCTCGTGATATATTTTTTTGACGTGTCGGTACACCATAGATAGTGTGCTTGCAATACTAATCGATGACCCTATTCAACTATAGTAAGTAACTAGGTACTACTAAAGAAAAACACTTGAGCATCTTGGCTTACGATTGTCTGTCGTCGAAATCTAGTATGCCATTTTTGCAATCGTTTTTTCATTAAACGATTTGCTCAACAACATAACTAAGTTGTTGCAATGACAGTTTGAAAAATGTCAGAGTAAAGTCGTGTTTATCCGTCATTGCGGATCAATTCGTATTTTTTTAAATGACTACCAGTATGAGTCAAATAATCGTACCATCGTCAGTGCCTTCAGTTGCCATGTCTGCCAAAAGCGTGTGCAATAAGGAAAATATACGCTCAAAAAAATATGTGCCCACATCCGAGGATATTGATGTAAACAAACATGATGTCCAATGTCAATCTCCAGAGCCTAGTGAGGACAAACCACTTCAAGAACTGAACAAATGTGACGAGAGCAGTGAAAACAGTAGCAATGATAAAAAAAAATTTGTGGAGGCTCCACTTCCAAAAACCAACCCTTGGACGGCAAATATAAGTGTAGCACATGTTCGTCCAAAAGAATCAGCCAAAGAAAAGGACCCGATTGTTGGGGAAAAAAGAGTCTTGCTACCTCAGCAACAAAGCAGTTGTAAGTATTTTATCTATGAATAATATTTAAACTAGGAATAATTATTAAGCCTGTTGAAATAACTAAATTTTAAGCTTAGTTCTAGACTTAGGTACCTATACCAATTTCACAAATAGAATTATTTTATTAAATTTGGTTTCTAAGGTGGCATACAAATGTATACCTAGTGTATACTAATTTAATTTTGTACTTAGTTGATTGTCTTCGAATAAAAATGATTGTATCTGTCATTTTTTTAAGTATAAGTAGATAGGTCCCTAATACCTTAAATGTACTTATATAAATTACTAAACTATAGTTACACTATATATACATATACTTATTACAAATCTTAAAATTTCAATCTAGTATGAAGGTACTTACTGTCTTTCTGTCAAAGAATAGGTATATATATGTTTAAATTGATTGAATAGTTAAATATTGTAGGTACCTAGGTATTTTTTAAATGAATTGCAAGATCAGTATTGTTTTTTATGGTTAAATATATTTATTTAACTGTTCTAAAGGTCCATGCTAAAGTAACTGAATGGTTTCGCTAACACTACTCCAGAGCCTCCTAGCTTGAATGAGTTGAGTTTGATAGTAGCCTTTCAACAGTCAATTAATAATATTGAAAATGAATAACTTAGGTAGGTAGGTATTTACTTGAAGTTCAAAAGAAATGTCAAAACTAAAAATGAATCAGTAATCGTGTTAAAAAAAAATGTAGATACAAATAAATACATACCTCACTCTAAACTTAGTAGTTATGATTATGTTGTGTGCATAAGTAATTAAAATAAAATGAGTATTTAACTTCTGGCATAGAACAGATATTCAACAGGTGAATTGTTCTATCTCTTACTAATATACCTAGGTATTATATTTTTTACTGAATTTGTATTACCTGTAGGCCCCTTCCTTGGTATTAACTATATACACTTATTACTATGTTTTATTCTGTTAAACTAAAAATGTAAAATTCAATGAGCTTATTTTTTTAAATATCTTGTTTCGTAATATTTTATTGATTTAAGAAAATGTACCTATAGCTAATGTTTTTTCAGCTTTGAAAGACTTATTTAAGTGAGGGTTTATTATGTTTTAACAGATATTTTAATGTAGAAAAAGTTTATTTTTTTTATTTATAATAGGTATTACAAGTAAATAGTTATGTAGGTACCTTATTTATTAGTTATTTTTTATTGGAATATTAAAGAAAACATTTATACCTATATGACATGGGATAGGTACCATATTAAAGCATTGATTATTAATAGGTACTTATTTGTTTATAATCAATGGTTAAAGTAAATCTTTATTTACCAATTAATTCCAGCATGATTAAAAACATAAATTGAAAATAAATAATTTTAAAGCTTATTTTATTATTGTATACAAGATTTTACATCTTATTACCTTTGTAATAAATTGCATGCAATTAAAAAAATAAATTGATAATTAGTACATAATTTATACTGTACCTAGGTGGCTACTCTTAATATTAATAGATAGGTAAATTAATTAATCTATTTCACATTGATCATGTTAGTATAAAATAGTTGCAGCCGTAATAGTTATTTATGAACTAATAATAATGATAGACGGTACCTTATACACACATTTTTTCCCCTAATGAATAAATGTATAATTATGCAATTTTAGTTAAATCTTACAATTTATATTTTCTTAAAACTTGGTAGTTGGTGTCTGAGTGCTGCATCTAGGGCGTTGAGGGTGTTAAGTTTATCTGTGTACTGGAGGCATTCCGTAAAAATGTGGTTGACCTATAATTCTGTACCTCAGGTAGTGCGAGGTTTTTCTTCCTTTGCCATGAGATGTCGATGCGTTATTTGAGTGCATCCGATGCGAAGTCTGTTTATTACGAGGTTTATTATTACTTTTTCTCTTCTACTATTCGTGAGGGAATTTGGTCAATCAAAGATGGGGTTTTTAATTTTTTTAATTTAGTGTTTTATTTGAGCCAGTATGTTTGCCATTTGATTTTGATGAGTTCTTTAATTTGTTTTTTATATCTGATAAAGTAGTAATATTTAATTTGGTTGGTATCTGTTGTGTCCTCAGCTTTCTTGGCTTCATGGTCTGCCATTACGTTGCTTTCTATGTTGTTGTGCCCTGTAACCCAGATTATTGATATTTTGATTAAAAAGTATTTTAAAGTTGTAGTATTAAAAAGGAATCGAAAAGTGATGTTTATCAACTTAAATTTATTCTATAATATGTAGGTAAGGACAGTAGCTTATGGTGAGGCCTCACCAGTTTATTACGTAAGTATTTTATTATTAATTTAATAATTTAAGAGGACGTTATACCCGCATGTTTAAGAGAGTTATGAGTATTTTAAGTTGCACAAGCAATTTACAATTTTTAAATACTCCTAACTCTCTTTAAAATTAAAATTTAATAAAAAGCCCACGAGAAGCCCTCTGTAATAATCTTACTTTTTATTTTAATAAGAGGTCAATTTACTCTAATTTTTAAGCTAACTGAGCTTAACGTGATCTGCTGATCGTAAAATTTGATATGTTACGCTCTTGTAAGACGGTGACTACACATGCTTGTATAACATCCTCTTCAGTAGGTAGGTATACCCTAAGTTAAAATTGCTTTGGTACCTAATTTCCATGCTAATTATACAATTTATCACATTTTATTGGAATAATGTTTGTTCTAGTAGTAATATATAAGTTTTGGTACCCACATTTAATATCTATCCATGTTTTTGTATTAGTTTTATCTACCTATTTTTGTGAAGTACTTGTAATAAAAATAGTAATAAGATCAGACACTTGTTTTGGTAATACTTGTAGATACTTAAATAATTTAGTAGGTATATAGACTGAAGGCAATTGTAAGAAAAGTATTAGAGGTACTTAACTTAATTTTTTATTACCTTACTACTATTAAAGGTAGGTACCTCTATAAAAATACTAATATTTATTAGCCATATTAACCATTTTATAGAGAAAATATTTAAAGAAACCTTAAACAAGTACTTACTCAAAGCAATACCTAAACACTAAATTGCTACTGTAATTAAATGTATAATATGTTCAACTAGGTGCTTAAGTTGCTACCGAGGTTGCTACATTGAATAAAATAATTTTGCTAACATTACTCCAAAATCTCATCAGAACTTAGAGTTAAAATAAAGTGAATTTGATTGTAGCTATACGACATTCCAAACAGCAAATAGTGATATAGCTTAGATATTAATAACCTGTTATTCTCATTACCTACATATCTAAAATATTTTGTTCAAAATTTAAGGTTTCAATTTTTGGTATTTTATAATAACCTCATTACCTATGTAAATACTTGTAAATATCCTTTTATAAAATAAATATTAAGGTAGGTATGTTGAAAACTGATATTAAAATATCATTAGTAGGTATTAAAAAAATATCCCATGCTTTCTTAATTTTTTTAACCCCTTTTCTGTAGTCTTTACTTATGTTTAAGAAAGTACTGTTAGTAAAAAAATCATTCTTTGAATGTAGGTACTAACTACAATTTGGTTTCTGTTCCCATAGATATAAAAAAAACTACCTGAAACTTTTTAGTAACTTCTGTTCAAAAAATTGTCTTGGTAAAACTAACAAAATTGGTAGCTATCAATGAAAAGTTATTTTAAACATTCCTAATATTATAAGTACATATTCGGTACATATTAAAAAAATTTGTTCGCCTAATATCAAATTTATCATTATGTTTATTTTTAGGCAGACATTATGATATTTGTTACTTGCAAAAAGTGTTTTTTGCTAAGTTACATGTAAATCTTTCATTAATTCTTATTTATTATGTGTAAATAATAATATGGAGCCATGATAAATTAGCCAATAATGTATTAGTTACAATGGTTCGATATTATAGTGTGATGATTCAATGTTCAAATACTGATTAGTGTTGAACACAAGATAAACACTTGATAAACTTCATTTACAGCAATTACTATGGTTATTAAATTGTATGCCATATCTAAATTGTGTTTTTAGATGTACCTATAGATTTATATTTTAATTTATAATTAAACTACCTTCTATAGGTATGAATTATCAGATGTGTTAAAATCTGGTTTAAATACATGACTTGTTATAATTGATTACATGTATATATTTTTCTAAATACATAATTTTTGTTTGGTTAATTAAAACATAATTAAATTAAACGTATTCAACAATTTACAAGAAACGATTGATACAGATAACTGCACTGTGACTGTACGGACTTACATAGGGTTTTAAGCGTGTCGGTTATAGATTCTTGCAAGATAGTTGGATTTTTGTGTGCTTGATAAAATCGAGTTAATATTTAATTATTTCATTTCTTAATAATTGCCTATTAGTAATAACTACAGTTGTCAAGTTTCATGAATATTTTTATATATCATATTTATTTTGTAATTATTTTTTTAAAGTTATAGACCATTTGTAATTTTCTAATTTAAAAATATTTAGACTAAATTAATTTTTAATAAAACTATTATTTAATTATCGACTTACTTTTACAATAATATACAAACTGTTAAGAGGACGCTACCTATGCATTAGTTATCTCCGTCTTACGCACGTACGACATAGAACATTTTCGTTCACTAGTTTCAATAGTGTGCCGTTAGTTTCGATATTACAGTGAATTGACCTATTATCAGAGTTTTAGGTAAGAACATTATCCATGCTTTAGGGTCGGTGGATTTTTGGATATTTTAATTTTCAAGCGAGATATGAGCATTTTTGATTTGTGTTATTTCACATATTCTTATCTTGCTTGAAAATGAAAATATCGAAAATCCACCATAGATAATGTTCTTACCTAAAACTCTGATAGCAGGTCAATTCACTCTAATATCGAAACTTACGGCACACTATTAAAACTAGTGAACGAGAATTTGCTATATCGCAAGTTAGTAAAACGGAGACAATAAACACGTGGTTAGCATCCTCTTAAATATACCTATTTTATTACTAAAAAAAGTATTGCTATGAATTAAAAATTAGAATTTAGAATTAATTATATCTTTATTACATTTATTGTGAAACATGACTACGGCCTATCGCCTATGCCTATCTCTACCAGTATTCACGTAACTCCTGTAAAAAAAATATAATTAAAAAAAATTTCAGTTGTTGAATATTTTCATGTTCCTGAAAATTTCAATGTACATTTTCAAGCTTACAGCTCTGGACTAATAACAGTTAAAATTGTTAAACATGGTTTACAGTACCATGATGTTCGGTTAATTTTTGCATTATTCCATAGTGAATTGGAAATAACTTGTCACTGCTTATTCGGAGCATTTAAATTATTGTATTCCTTGAATACTTCGAAAATATTGCTCCAATACACTTCAATACCTTAAAGATTTTGAATAGCTCTTCAGATACGATTGATGACTACTCTTAAGGTACGGTGTTGTTTCTGCAGTTGACTGCACGTTTAATAGGTACTCATAATTACAAAAAAAAATGAAGGCATTTAACGCCTATGGGCTATAACAAACTATTTTTGAAATACTCAAATTGGACGAGTGGTTTATAAAAATAGTAGAAAGCAATAGTTACTTCCTTTAAATGTATACAGTTAACTTGGTATAAGACCTGGTAAATCTACTGTTGCTAGCGCCGTTTTTCTTCGCGGCTTATGTATCGGAAATATGTATTGAACAAGGTGCCCAAGTTAACGTAGACAATACAGGTTTTAAAAATAGCATTTACTACAGTAGACCTGTGGTACTCAATCCGCGGTCTTCGTAGAAATTGTGCGAGTAAAATGTATAATTTGTATAAAAATAAACACGAATTAAGGAAGTAAGGACTGGAACAGTGTTTCCCAAACTCCTGTTTGAGCTGGCCCGGTAATTTATGTCTTCCACTTCATTGTGTAAAAAAGGCAAAATAAACACATTTGAATGTCCACATAGAATTTTATAATAAAATTGAGGCATTAATTTATAACATTAATGTAATAATTATAATGTAGTTACTAATTATATTAGTTGACTGCTATTTGTGCGAGAAGTATGAAGCTGTTTATTTTTAACTAGAAACTCCAAGTTTGCTGGAAAGGACGTTTTTATTTTATTCTTAAATCTGGTTCGATTTCCTACCGATTTTTGTATTATTCTTCAGGAACACGAGTGTTGAAAATCCTTTTAATTAATAAGGGAATTTTCCAGGAAACAGCATTTATTAACTAACGAAATTCACACACCTGAACTCTGCAACTATCAATATCTACAATGAACAGAAATACGCCACTCCCCACCAAATAGACCTCAACGTGTGTTTAACTGAGCCATTAGTGCCACCGGTTAAAATTATAAAACAAAATACCATAATATAACAATCTTATAAAAAAGTCTTGCTATAAATGATATAAATTTAGATATAAACGATATATCTTTGATACCAACTGGATTCTGGTCTTTTCGCTAAAATCACATATTAAACGTCTAAATTTAGTCGGAATATCAAAAGTATCAAAATCAACGCAATCAATAATACATCTTTGATTATATACTATGAATGGAGCCATACCGATTTCGCCCGCGTAAACAATATGAATCACATATTATAACCGACAAGTCGGACGAGGATACATGATGTGCGCATGCGTGAGTTAAACCTTTGCATGTTTAGCTATTGGTTTATATTTATGTGTATCAATTTACATAGCTAAATATGCGATATTTCTCCTCGGAAGCATGTGCACTTCAAGTATCTTCGCTTATTATGTACTTTCTATGTCCTTCCATAGTTTGTGATCGAAGCACTACATACACACAATGTTCTACTGCTAATAAATTTAATAGTTCGTAAAATGACGATTTAGAAATAGACTACTATGGTAAATGAAACAAAACTCCCCTCCAGCTTACAATATTCATCAATTTTAAAACACTAAATTACCAGTCTAACGAAAACATGAAATATAACCAGTTAATGAATTTACTTTGCAATAGCTTTGCTGACTTACTTCAACTTATTAGACCTCACCAAGTGCTTACCACGGAGCTATCATCAAGTTCTTAAAAGTATCAGAAACCTAATTGTTTTGCGCATCAATAAAAATAAAATAAACTATATCAGATTAATATTAAAAATTTACATACCGCTATGTAACTAGACTATATTAAAGAAATATGTGTGAAACATTATGTTTGCTCGTCACAGAATATCCAAAACACCCCTACTTCTATTTTTTGATGGTTTAGATTTTAGAACCTGCACTTCACAACAGCGATGTATTCGATCTTAAATATTTATACTATACTAAAATGAAAATAGAATTAGGTACCACAAATCAACTAACATATACCTCAATGTCTAAACTGCAAATACTGAGACTGCACTAGTACCTACATTCTGTTGCAATCATTTTAGATGCGTTCGCTGCGGTGTAAACCACTGACTAAACACTTGTACTAAAAGTCGCGACCCCCCACAAAATGTGCATTATGGTATTATGCAATAAATATTACCTTGGCAAATACTATGGATGTGAATTTTCAAAAAACTTTATCAACTCCGAAATTAACCTGTTGTATTATAAGCATTTAATTAATGTATAAATTAAACAAATAAAAACGAAATTAAAGATAGTTAATATTTTATTACCAATACATTGTCAAACCCACCATCCAATATCACCTCATCTTAAAATTATTAAATAATAGTTAAGCTTATTCACAGGTTACAATATCGAACATAAATAAGGCACTAACAAATCATAATAAATTCCAGTACAAATAAAACATCATTGTATCCCAAATGACCTCCTTCCTGAATAAATGTATAAAGTATTATAGACCTATACATTTCATTTTTAACCATAATCATCGACGAAATATCAATTTTCAAAGTGCCCTCTCACGCTTATAAAAAAAAATAGCATATATAAAATAAGAGGTGCTGTTTTGTTCTTGATGGACGGTTCCCCACTCACGCCCTTCTATATCTGTATTAACACTATAGCGCCAAAAAATAAAAAACAGTTACAAATGTAGATTATAATTTAAAAAGAAAACTTTAACTAACCACAATAAAACGAATTAACAACTATTAAAACTAAATAATACATACCTATAGTTATCAAGCAAGGAATATTATGTGACGAAAGCATACGTTTTATGTTCGCGTACAACAATATCATCATTATTATATTGCGTATTTGTGCTTAAAAAAACGTTCAGTATCAAATAATCCGTTTCTAAAAGTATTTATAATCGCTCAATGTAGCGCTTTCAACTGCTGCGTAAAAACTATAAGCGTGATCATCCTATCTTACCGCTCCCGACCATGTCAACTGTAATTATACAAGCCGGGTAGTTGGAACTCCGAGCGCTTCTGTCAATATATTGCATACCTAAATAACAAAACATTACATAGGTAACCCAAATTACCCATATAATAAAATTATTTTTTCTAATTTTTAATACATTATAACACAGAATATAATGGATTATTTTATATCTAACATAAAAAAACCTACATTGCAACATGAACTTTTTCCAATTTACATTATAAATTGAATAATTTGTTTTTCTTCATTTTTAAGTTGGTTTGCAGCTCTCACCTTGCTTGCCCTGATCGCGCACGCTACTGGTATTGAGTAATATACATTACCAATATATTTTTTTTTATATATATGTGTTCTATCCACTTTACATTTTTAGTATATTAAAAAATCAGTTATTGTTAATTAACTGCGCAATGAGTTGTTGAGGAGGATAATGGCACAGCAGTAAACTAATCGCAGTGTTTCGCGGTAATTTATTTATAACTATTTTGTTGACGTTGAGTATTTAATGAATAAAATAAATACATTTATGTATTATTAATATATTAAAGTTTAATATATTTTTTTTACCTTTCTTTATTAAATGTATGGTATAGGTTAGTATGAAAAAAAATATTGGTGGCCCCGTACTAAAATTAACCTAGCTTAACAATAATAAATTTAATTATACCTAATACTCTTGTTAAAATCTCAATAATAATAATAATAAAAAAAAATAGTAATAATTAATAATAGTGAAAAAAAAATAGTAATAAATAATAATAGTAAAAAAAAATAGTAATAAATAATAATAATAATAATACGTGGACGACCCCTAGGGGTCCGTAATCACAGTTTGGGAAACGCTGGTATAGGTAATTTAATAATTATTTATCAGCATAAATAGGTATAATCTTTGTTTCCTATTTCATTATGCAATTGTATCCAACTGTAAATATTTATTTAAAAATTGATTATTTTTATGTTTTAGTAAAATATGTATAAGTATAAGTATTGTGTAAAAAAACTGTTACATACTTACACACCTACATTAAATAATTAAATAAAGCAAGTAAATGTGGACTTTCTATAGATTTCTATTAAATACCATTTAATTTTTTAATTTTTTATGATTTATCACTAATCCATTTATTTTACAGGTGATATGTCAAGCAGCAAAGCCCTAAGTAGCAGCAAATTCACCAAGATTAAAAAAGTAAGTACATTTTAGTTATTAGGACAATTTGATAATACATTTATTTCAAGCAATAGGTAGTTCATTATTAGAAAAACATAAAAGGTGATTATTTTAAACCAAAAAAAGTTAGAAATTTAAAATATTGAAAGTATTACTTATGGTTAAACTTACCTATACCTTTACTTAGCTAACAATCACATTTTTCCTATGTTCTTTTTCATATCATGGTGTTGTTTCTTTTATATCCAATGCAGAATATTTTTATAAACTTAAAATGTTAAACTCCAGGTTTAAATGGGTATTAAGAGAACCCCACACTGACATTTGTTGTCCTCCTTCTTACAAATGCGTAACATAGCAAATTTTATACTCAGCAGATCACCTTTAGATCCATTAGTTTAAAAACTAGAGTGAATTAACCTAATATAATTTATTTTTAAAGCCAATTTTGAGTATTTTAAGATTTAACAATTTACAATTTTAAAATACTCATAACCCGCTTTAAAATTAAATTAAAATCTAATTAAAGCAAATGGATATCCTAGATCATAATCTTACCATTAAATCTTATAAGAGTATCTTATTCACTCTAATTTATAAACTTTCAGAGCTAAACGTGATCTGCTGAGCTTAAAATGTTCTATGTTACACTTTTGTAAGACGAAGACAACAAATGCTAGTGTAGTGTCCTTTTAATGGGTTTAGTTAACTTTGCTTGTTAGGGTTTTTACTGAATTTTATTTATTACTGGGCCTTTCATAGAAATATAGACTCAGCCACTCAGTCTGCCACTTATGGCGTGACACTACAGTTTATTCAACATGTTATTTTGGCACTTACACTGTCACACACTCAATATATTTGTAACATTTTATTTAATCATAAGCAGTGATAATCTACCATTGATTTTTTAATTAATAAAAATGTTAAGGCAAACAATGAAAATTCCCAATGTATTGATAAGCGCGGAAGTGAGAGGAATTTGTGCATACATCAGGAGAGAGGCAAAAAGAGAAGGAAAGTTTTACACTACGTTGCAAAAGAAGGGGATGTCAAACAACTTACTATTTTTTTTATAGTATAATACTATTCGATTTAAAAAAATTAATTTATTTCTTTTAAATTATTTTTTTTTTAACGAATGACCATTGAAAATATTGTGCACACTGCAAGCGTTATCATGTTTAGTAAAGGTTTCAACTCAATAACCAAAAAATTGTTTTAAAAAATCTTATCCCGACAAATCGAAAATATTACTTTTATTGTATTATTTTATGTAACTATAAATTCATTAATGAGTCATACAAATAAAATACATTTAAATTTTTAAATTTTTAAATGTGTACATTTTTAGAAATGTTATCTTATGTTGTATTTATTTACTTATCTTTTTTAGAACAAAGAATTAAATGGTATTGAAGCTTGGCCTTCCCTAGGGAATGCCCAGGGCTCAGACGTATGTATAAATATTACCAATTCATTTTATAATATTATAAGTAATTTAAGTAGGTATATTAAATTCATTTTATTTTTCATGTAGAAAAAATGTATATCACAGAGTGAAAATACATCACCGAATATTCAGTCACAATTGTCAAAAATTAATAATTCTGTAGTTGCAAAAGATGCCCAGACTTCTACTAATGAGGTGACAGCTAAAAAGTCTTGTCAAAAGATAAATGGTGTGAAAAAAAATGAAACAAACAATGATTCCCCAAATATTAATGAACAAGAAAATGGTACTAATTCTGGTCATTCATCATCCAATGAATCAAATAATATTGATAAACGAAAAAAAGGTTAGTACTGACATATTTTAACGATATATGTTGATAGTTTGTTATTTTTTTAGGTTTTTGTTTAGATAATATATCTATAATACTATTAAGTCAAATCATTTTTTTTTAGATTAAGAGAACGTCTTACCTGCATAATATATTTTCTCTGTCTTACTAACACATAATGCACCAACATTTACATTCAGCAGTTCCAATTTTGTGAATAGTCCTTCTAAATGCTTTCTAAAGCTGCCAGGCTGAACCATGTTAATTTATCATTTTACAATACAATATAATAATATGACTATCAAAATGAGTATATTTATGAATATTTTAATATAAAATGCCTATAAATTGGGTTGTCACTAATGAACAATGATGTATTTGACATCATCCTTTAGCCTGGCTGTGGTACTGTTATTTGCCACTTAATAATAAACAAGATAAGAATAATTTCATTTAAATGCAGTGTCAGCGACATATGAGCTGGGTGGTAGCTGGCAAGTTAGTGTGTTGTACTGTTGCTACTTATTGTATACTTATGTAGCTGTGTAAGTGTGAGTGTGCTATATGATCCAAAAGTAACAATTAATGTTTTTTTTTATTTCAAATTTTATAAAATATAATTTATAGTTTGAATTATGATTGTTTAAACAAAATTCTTTCGAGCCTAACGAATTGCTGAATAGAATGTTAAGTAATGGTGCAACTAGATCCAAAGTCTTATGAGGCTTGGCTAAACTCTCATCTGAGAAGTGAGCCATGGGATTTCCTCTAATAATTATTATACTATGTCAAGTTTTAAAATAATATTGTATAATATACAAACAATGCATTTTATTCCATTGGGAGTTTCTTTTTAAGTATTAGCTTCTTATTTCTTAGTCTTTAGTAGCAACAGGTTATCCAAACGTTAGTCTTAATTTCTTATTTGTTTATGAAAGGCTGTAAATGGTTAACATTTTCAAATTTTTTCAAAGTAATAAGTTTAAAAATCTTGTATAGCCTAATCTTTTTACAATAAAAGTGACTAAACATTTTTATTGTACATATAAATTGGAATAAGTTAATAACTTAATATGCAACAACTTTCAAAAACCATAGATATTTAAAAACTCATAGATTATTTGTAATTAGTGCAATGAATAAATCAGGTCTGGTAAATAACAAAATATAGGTACATGAAATAAACACCATAGTACCTATAATCTAATGATCTAACTAGTTGTGCTAAAGTTTAAGTGGTATACCTATTTTATTTTCTATTTATATTATAATAATTTAACTGTATTTTTATTTTTATTTTTTTTTTTTTGGGGTTTTTTTATATATATCGATCATCGTCGTGCAACAAACTGTACGGGGTATTAATAACCTTTGAGGGCTAACTCCACTCCAATTCGCCTTTATAGCTGGTAACCTTGCTTTAAACTCGTATTTTATAGATCTGTCATCAAACGTAATAGTAAAAATATTATCTGTGTTCTTTCATTTGGTATTTAGGATATTTTAATTATTGAATAAGTTATGATTAGGTTCCTGATTTATATGCTCTATTAAATTACTTTTCAAAACATTAATGCTCTTCAGAAAAGACCCACATTGTTATTTTTTATCTTCAAACTAATAATAAAAAAAATACAAAATACCGAACTTAGGCACACCACACACTATAAATACATGTTATGCTCAAAATTAACCCTGTTGTATCTCCAACTGACCAATTAATAGTTATTTATTTGATTCTTACTTCTGATAATGGTAGTAGATAGATTAAGATGTTATCATGTTCATAAATATAATTACGAAAAGAAAAAATGCAAAAATGGTACCTTTGAAAAATCTTTACATAAAACAGATTATATACTTTGAATGCATTGTCCTATTGCACTCAATAAATGATGCATTATACTTTATTCCTTTTAAGTTTACCCATTTGACCAATGTAAAATAGTCGCTGTCACACACTCTTGTATAACACAGTGCAGCTGTTGAAAGCATGGAGTAATGTCAGTTACAAACTAATGGTGACCAATCACTGAGCACCTGACATCACCTGCGGGGGGTTCTAACTGTTATGGTCGATCAGTATACATGCCCTAAAGTGGTTAATAATAGGTAAAGTCACTCAAATTTTAGCTTAAACTACAAAATTGTAACTGTTGAATGTAATGTTGATATGTTATGCGTTAATAAGACCGAGAGAACACATGTGGTTGTGGCATCCTTTTAAAAAAGAAAAAGAGTACAGAATAATTAACTATTTTTTACCATTTATTTAAAAATAGATGAATATAATGGTATATTTTAAATTCAATATTTCATTATGAGCCTTACACCTATGTTATATGATTATAGTTAAACATTCTAAATGGACACCTCTTGATATTGAAATATCTAAAGAAAACAGCTATAGGAGCAGACTTTCAAAATATCGTAGAGATCGATCTGGTGAGAATAAATTTAATTAATAATTTATGTGGAGTATACAAATATTTTTATATTCTTTCTTAGGTGGTCGAGACAAAAGTAATAATCAAATTAGAAATAAAAATAGTCGCAAGGTTTCTGATTTGTCAGATAATACTATCTCAGATTCTGACAAACGTGATGGAGGTCCAATGCGCTATATGCGACACCAACGATCTCGCAATAGGCTTCAAGATGAAGAACCTAAGACTAACTCCCAAAAATCATCAGATGGAAAAAATGTAAATTTTTCTTGTGATGATAGTTTTCAATAATGATAGATATAATTATTTAAATAACATATTAATAAAAGTATTGCATGAACATTTGATTGAAAATCATAAATTAATAGTTTTAATTATAAAGATCCAAATAATTTTACATCCTTATAATCTTTAAAAACTCTGTTTATTTTTCAGGCTAGTTATAATTTTAAAGGAAGTGATGTTTTGTACTCAGGTCCATCCCGTTTGAATTATACCCAACCTTATTGTGAATTAGTTCCATTTATGACTTATCCAGTGATAAATGAACAGACTGTGATTAATCTTCTTAAGCAACAAATGTGCGTTGATAATTATTTATAATTTCTATAATACCATTATATAATTATTAATATTAATGTTTTTTCAGATCTTACTATTTTTCAACAGATAATCTTTGTAAAGATACATTCTTCAGGTTTCACATGGATGAACAGGGTTATGTTCCCGTAACATTTATTGCATCTTTTAAACGTGTGAGAGAACTTAGTCAAGATATTAGCCTCGTTATGAAAGCAATGATTGATATGGAAGAATTAGAACTTAGTAGTCACATGGTATGAAAACATTTAACATTTGAACATAAAATTAGTTTAACTAGCATATTAACCTTTTAGTTTCTACACTAACAGGTAAGATGCCGAACTGATCCAACCAAGTGGCCACTTAAAGAAATACCTCAACAATTTTTATTTAAAAATAATTTAAATGCACAACATCCATTATTTGCTCATCCCATGGGACCGCCTACTATTGTTCCACTTATTTCTCCAGACTTAATGGTCAAAAATCTACCTGCCCCTCCTCCTCCGCCAAGCATACACATAGTTTCTGATCCTCAAGCTGCCATGAATCTTAACCCTGATGTCCCAGAATTCGTTCCAAGGAATGGCCCCATAGAATCGAAGACTGAAGAGAACTGTGATACTAATGACTGTGAACAAACAAAAATAAATGATACTCCTTTTACTGGTAGTGGTGAAGTTATTGATACATCCAAAACATCCAATGGTCAACATTTAAAAATTGGTAAGAATAAAAATTATAACACATTTTCTAATTTAAATTTGATAATTTAACTCCATGAAGCAAAATGTTTTGTACTCATATTTCTTATGCCTTCTATATTAAAACAGGTCACCCCCTTGTATTCTTTGCAGTGTCTTACTAACGGGAAGGGATAACTCTCCCCCATACATTTTGGAAGAATTAACTCCTTAATATGATAATATGATGAATTATCTTAAAAATTTAGAACATAAAGTCTGTTTTTTTCTAAAGATTTTAATTTAAACTACAGTATTTTAAGAAACAAGTTAGGAAAGCTCACTCTGTAAGTGTGCTTAATTCTCATTATCTTAACGTATATAAATACAACATAATTAATTTATGCTCAATAACCTGGAACAATAAATAAATACCTATTGGCTATAAATATCAGCAATCTAATACTGTGTATTGGCTACTAACGGGCAGATTGACTACAAGAATATAAGGTGCTCAAAACATATGTTTAGAAACCTAAAACCTTTTTAGAAAACATAGATATATGTATGATCAGTGGTGTACCCAGAGGGATTACTAAGCGGGCTTCAGCCCCTCCCATTGGCCATGTTATGGTATAAATCTTAAGTGATAAATTATAAAAGAAAAATCATGATATTTTCAAAAACAATTTCGAAGAAATAGTTTGTGATATATATTATATATTATATAATTATTTATAGATGTTATTATGGTTATGGGATAAAGTAATGACGGCCTAGTACAGGGGAACGGATATCAAAGTCTGATTTACTTTGTTTAGCCTCCCTCCCATTAAAAAATCTTGGGTACACCACTGTATGATCATGAATCGTGATACCACAGTATTAACCACATTGTTGCAATGGCTTAACTATCTATATATCAAGTATACAGAGTATGGAGAGGTGTTGCTTGACCGCTTTAACTATTTTCTTCATAACTTGAATAGAGTACATAGTATATTATTATAGGTTTTATTCAAGAGATAAGAATAAAACCCATTTTACATTTATTTTGTTAAAATTGCTAGTGATCATATTGCTTTATAGAAGTATGACATGAAGTTAAAAAAAAAATATCCTTGACTAGTATTTGCAAAATCAACCATTGTCCATTTTAATAATAAGATAATTAAGTAGATAAATTGATGTATTTGGATGTATTTTATAAAATATCCATCAATTAATATTATTTGTTTAACAGCTAATTTAAAGTCTGATACAATTAAAGAAGAAAACACTGACAAAAAAAGTGTATCTGTTGAAGTTTTAGATGATAAAGAATCATGGAAAGAAGTATGTTTTTATTTTTAGCTTTTATTATTGTTATTATCTTTTTTTGAATAATAATCATATATTGTACAATATACATATTAAAACCTTTATTAAGAGGATGCCGTACCTGCATGTGTCGTCTCTGCCTTACACACATACACTATACCAAATTTTTGTTCACTACATTCAATAGTGTGCTAATAATTTTTATATTAGAACAAATTGACCTATTATACCATTAAAAGGTAAGATTATTATCTAGGGCCCCATGTAGACTTTTATGGCTTTTATTATTTTTAAGTTATGATCATTTTAAAATGTACAGTTTCAAAAAGGTTGTTTTAAATAATCATATCAATTAAAGCATACATGGGGCCCTAAATAATAATCTTACCTTTAGATTTTATAATAATCAATTCACTCTAATATTAAAACTAACAGCACACTGTTGAATCTTGTCAATAAACATTTGCTATATTGTATGTGTGTAAGATAGAGACCATACATGCAGGTACGACATCCCTTAATTCTGCATAAATCTATTAAAATTAAATAGATTTTGAGTTTAAATTAATCAAATTAATATTACAGGTAAAAAGACGCTCAAAGCCTAGAAACAGTAATTCTGTCTCAGAAACCCTAAATGTAGCATCAAATTTACCTAAACGTAATTATCCGGAGAATCAAAATGATACCCATGCATCAAATTCATGGGATCTTGGATTTCAGTTTGATGAAGATCTTGCTGTTGTGCCACGTGGAAAAATAAACAAATTTAATGAAGATCCAATTGGGTAATTTTATATTTTTATTAAACATTCAAATTTGTACTTAAATTAAATAGGATTATATTATTTTGTTTTTTGAAGTTCGGATACTGATGAATCCGATTATGGAGATAAAGATGATTTTGATGATAAAGATATTGACAAACTCATGATAATTACACAAAAAATGATAAGTCGCCCTCAAAAGATTGAAGATCGATCTCATGATAAAACAACACGTGTTAAAATGACTCAAGATTTAGAACATGCTATTGACTTAGGTTTAAGATTATATGAAGAAGACTTATGGCATACAAATTCTACGGTATTTAACATAAAATTAATATTCAGTCAAATGTCACTTTTATATTTTTTTTTAGAATCAAACATCATCTTACAAGACTGTAAATGTTGTTACTCAAGAGGTTTTTGAAAGGCTTGTACCAAAAGCTCCAAAGAAAGTCAATCAAGTTCCTCCACCACCACCACCATCTTTGAATGTTGATAATTTAACTGAAATAATGGAATCTACTGAAAGAAAAGTAATTGATTTATATATTTATATTTTAAGTTAAATTATTTTAACATTTTTATTTACTAGGAAATTGAAAATAAACAATTAAAAACTCAAACTGCAACACAAACTAAGACTAAAGTGAAATTTGACCTGCAAAAGCCAAATCGTCGTCACTTCTATGGAGATATTGATGAATCTGGACATAGAAAACGAAGCCGTTTTAATGTGGATAGTGAACATCATGTAGGTTGGGTGTTAGATTCTCGTGCCCATACTAGACCTCGTACAACATCATTTGGGTAATACTAATATAATTTTAAAAGTTTTATGTTCAATATAATAAATGATAAAATATAGTCATGATACTTTCTGTATAACTGTACACTGTAGATCTCAGAGCTAAAGCTATAAGAAGCCATTGTTAAAAGTCATTGTTAAAATACATAGACATTTGTAGGCTATACCACACAAAGCTTAACATTATATTTATCGAGCAATAAACATCTATAAGATTATTAATAAGATGAGGTTCCACATATATAACAAACGCAATTTATTTGCATTTTAGTAATTTACTATATTTTATTATTATAAATCATCTATGTATAGCATAAATGCTAAAATGGAGAAAATCTTTTACAAAGTTTGTTTTTTATTAGAAAAATTTAGTACCTATAAACAAATTAAAACATATATATTTATTAGATTTTTCTTACTCAAATGTCAAATTTGTATGTAAAACAATAATAATACATTTATTTAACTGTGTTTTCATATGTTCAATTCTGATAATATTTTTAACAAATGTTTAATTATATGTTTATGTTAATTTTTTTCAGTAGTGGGACATTAGGAACTAGTCCTAGTCCAAGTGAAGGTTTTCTATCTAGCACACCTCAATCATTGCCAACTTTTCATCATCCTTCTCATGCATTGCTCATGGAAAATAATTTTACTCAACAAGCATACCATAAATATCATTCACGTTGTTTAAAAGGTGTGTATAACAATAATATTTGTGTATATTCTTTGATAGAATGATATTCAATTTCTTAAAAAAAATTTAAAAAAAATAGTAAAACATTTTTTTCTTTTTTTTTCCTAGAGAGATCTAGACTTGGACCAGGAATGTCTCAAGAAATGAATACATTATATAGATTCTGGTCATTTTTCTTGCGTGACAATTTTAATAAGAACATGTATAAAGAATTTCAATCTTTGGCTGTTGATGATTCAAATAATGGTTTCAGGTTTGTTGTAACTATCAGTAACAAATTGATCAGTAACAATTTGTATTTTTATAATATTTTTTTGTAGATATGGGTTGGAATGCTTGTTTCGTTACTATAGCTATGGTCTTGAAAGGAAATTCCGACCAGAATTATATAAAGATTTCCAAGCAGAAACTATAAGAGATCATGAAAATGGTAATTTATTAATTTTTAAATTTAATTTAAAAGTAATTTAAAATGTTCTGTTTTCTTTAATGGATAAACTGTAGGTCAACTTTACGGATTAGAAAAATTCTGGGCGTTTTTGGAGTATTACAAATATAGTAAAACGCTTCAAGTAGATCCCAAGTTAAAGCAATTCTTGAGTAAATTTAAAACGATTGAAGATTTCCGGAAAGCAGAAGAGGTAATGATTTATAGACTTTTAATAACAATTTGTTAATATTTATAAAAAAATGTTATGTTATTTTAGCAATTACCTAAAAGTGAAGGCTATTTGGATGCATCTATGCGAAAAATGGCGCGTATGAAACGCCATCGTAGTTACTCTGAAAATTCTACTCTTGATACCTTAAAAATTGCATCAGATGTTATAAAGCCATTAAATATTACTTCTACTGTTCCATCAAATAATGATGAAAATTGGCGTAAAAACTCTGTATTACCCCGAAGAAGATATTTATCTGTTGGTAAGTTTCCTACTAAATTATAATTATTAATTAAAAATTATTGGTGGTTGTAAAACATATAAATAATTTAGGTGAGAAATCAGGAGATTCTAAAGGACCTAGAATTACAAAAGTAACATTTGAATTAAATAAAAAAGGATCATCAACAATTGAAGAAAACTCTACTGAGACACCAAAACAAAAGTAATGCCCAAAATCATTGAAAAAATCATGTTATTTTATTAACATTTATAGAATGAATACTTAGTAAAAACACAAAAAAAAAATTTAATTTTGGACATTTTAAATATTTTTAAATTTAGTTTGTTATGTTATTTATCAAGATTGACTTGGGTCTAATATATTTTTAACAAAAAAAACTTGAATAGCTTTTTTATAAGCATAAAAACCTAGACATTTGAACACATATATAATATATATAATGCACATATCTAAGTGCATTTATATTTTAACAATAAATTCTTATATTGACAACAATGGTTATTAATGAAAAATATATAATAAATTGTAATATTTACTCTTATTACTTACAACTTAATAATATTATGTTGAAGACTGAATATATCATTGTTTTGTCTTTTTATTTCAATATTAATTTCTTCATTTCCCATTCAAAATTTAACCTACCATCTTTTATTTATTTTAATAATGTTTATTGTGAAATACTAGTCACATGGTTTGCTAATTATTAAGTTGATTATCAAGTAAAAAAAAAAGTGTGATGAGTCTTGGATACCTAACATAACAATTGCATAAAAAAATAAGTATTTAAGGACGGAATTTATTTTATAAAATAATTACCTTAATAATAATATTACGAAAAATTTATTTAGTGTGATAGTTTTTTTTAATATTTTAACAATTGTACTGTATAAAGTGTGTTGCTTAATTTAATTATTTTGTTAATACTATTATTTTAGTTGTAATGTTAGCATTTAAATTTGATAACATTGTTTAAGAACTATCATATTAGTTTATGGGAATGGGATTAGATATCTTATATTTTATTTTATTATTCCAAAACTTGGATTTTAAATTAAAAAATCTAATAGTTGTATCTATTGCCATAAAATTGAAAAAAAAATTTATATATATATAAATTTAGAATTATAAAGTTGTCAAGTCTTTGTTGTATAAGACTTCAATGTGCTCACAGGGTTTTTTTTTATAATTAATGAAATTAAATTCAAAATTTAGGGATAGTATATATTATTAAAATCAATAGTAGTGTTCTTAATATTACTTTTCGTAAAATTCGGATTAGTTATTATATTACTGAATATGTCATTATTTGAAAACAGAAGTAATAATTTATTTATATAGCCTAACATTTTCAATATAAAAATGTAAAAATAAATATAATATATATATTTTGCTTTAAATAATATTGACATTTAGAAAGAAAGCATTATACGTTATTATTGTTTTCTTATTTTTTGAATTGCTCATTGCTCTTACTTAAAATTGAGTTAAAATTTGTCAAATCAAATTTCATATGATTGTGTTCATCTTTTAATTTTTAACAATAATGTTAGTATAATCTGATTGCATTTTTAAAGAGTATAGCTAGCTTTTATGTTGCATATTGTATTTTCCAATATTTTTAAGTATTTTTAAAGTAGAATATAAATTCATTTGTTTTTTTTTTTTTTTTAGTAATGTATTTAATTATATCATAACTATTACTGAAGTTTGAATCCAAATTTATAGCCTTATTTTAAATATATTTTTAATAAATTAAAATATGTTATACTTAACTTACCCAGAATTGTTGCGACTAAAATTATTATATTTAAAATTTAATTTGGGTGATTATTATACATAGCTTTTATTAAAATTATTTATATAAATAGTGTATATCATATAAGTGTTTAAGTTTGTTTGATTGCTACTTTGCTAATAACAACAGTATATATATATATGTACGTATGTATGTATATAATTATACAATATATGTATATTATATACTGTTATATAATTATATTATATTTATTATAATATTTATAATTATCATTAATTTGTTCAACAACATAATAAACTATATTGTTCTGTGTATAATTTTATCAAAATATAATTATTTTATTTTGAATATTGTAAATTGTATATTATTTATGTTAATATGATACCTAATTTAATATAGCACTTCCTGATATACAGTGTATAATATGTTTAATATATTAATATGTTTATATATTAATTGTATCCTAAGATAAATTTATTTTAAAAATACATTGATAGTGTTCCAGATCATCTCTTATCTATTTATACAGTAAAAAGAAATATTACTACAAGCTCTATTGAGTACTGAATATAATAGAGTTTATGTGATATAGTATGAGCACCTCTTCAAATATACATTTTGGTTTACAATGTACCTTCTAATTACTAAAAATTAACATATTGATTGAATACACTGGTTGATAGTAATTGGACATAACTTAACTTTATTATCTAATAATTGTAAGGTATGTTCTTAATTTTTCTATTATACTCATAAGTCATAAGTATGTATTTCTTAGTTTGTGGTATCATTGTATTCAGTTTATGTGTATATTGCAATAAACCTATACTACAAATTAAATTAAACATAATTATGTTACATATAAAATATTATATAAAAATTACGCGTTCACAGCTTCTACTATAATCAATGACATGAGTTAAATAGAGGCCTGGTGTTGCTCAGTGGTTGGCCTCAGTTACTAACGTTCTGAGGTCGATCATTGGGCTGGCGTCGCTAGTTCCCGAATGGGTAACACCATGATTTTAGTGTTGAATCTTCATCCCACATACACGTGTTTCTCAACCAACCTTAACCTCCCCGGCAAAAATGCTGATGGCCATAGTTGCCCAAGCTTCAATGTCAATAAAAAATAAAAATTATGGGTTTAAACGAAGGTGAGTCAAATTGACTTTTCTTTTGAGGAATTTGAAAACCGGCAATTGAATTTAATTTAAATATTTCTAAAATGTTTACAAAAATTAATAAGTATAGTTATTTAATTAAATTAGTATTAATTAAGAATGATTGTTTTTAAAAACAAAAAAATATTAAATAACTAATTAATAGAACTTATTTAATAAGAAAATAGAAATCTATTATGGTTTTTAAGGTAGGTGTACAGTACCCAGTACCTACGAGGTGTGATAAAAAAATACCTGGATTTTAATTTTAATAAATACAAAAGTTAAGTTAGACATTATTTAATGATATCTCCTTCGGACAGAATGCAATGATCCCAGTGTTCTTGCCATATTTCGAAAGTCGTTTGGTACTGCTCCGAAGTTAATACAGTTCTGCTGTAAGAACTCGCTTTAAATACTTCTACATCTTGAAATTGTTGTCTTTTGAGTTTTGGGAAAAGAAAAAATCACACTGAGCCAGATCAAGATAACAGAGAGTGTGCGGGACAATAGATATTTTTTTATCATCCCAAAATGTACTTATCGACAGCGCTGAATGTGCTAGCGCATTGACGTGGTGAAGAAACCAGATTATTGTTTTCCAATTTTCTGGGCCTTCTTTTCGAATTTTTTTCCTAAGCGTATTAATACGTCTTCGTATAATACCCAATTGACTGTTTGTCCATGGGGCACAAATTCATAATAAACAATACCTTCAATATTAAAAAAACAATCAGCATTGTCTTAACATTTGACCACACTTGGCGAGTTTTTTTTGGCCGAGAGGAAAATTTTAATTTTCACTGAGATGACTGAGATCTTATCCATAAGCCCATGTCTCGTCGCCTGTTATAATGTTTTTTTTTATTAAATTAGGATCGATAGAACGATTTTTAAGGTCTTGACAAATCGTTAAACGATTTTTCTTTTGTTCGAACATATCGAAAACTTTAAGCAAAACAAACTGATTCAATTTAACCATGGGTTTATTTAAACTGAGATAAAATATCGACTTGGGTTTTGTTTAAAATATTCACTAATACGCGATGAAAATATCTATGTATAATTGAAAACGCAATCGTGCCTAGATTAGCCGTAATAATATTAGTGCCGGTATTTTTTGATCACGCCTCATACTTAACTAAGGTAATTACGTACTTATATTTATTTAAAATATAAAGCATTTATTTTAGATTCTTAGCAGAGCTTGAATGTAATACATATTGGTATTACAATAGTCAATAATGTGTGTTTTATTTCAGATATAAATTATTGTTGTTTCTGTGTACACACAGTACACGATAAGTAGACGAAATAATTATTTAATCTTTAACTTCAGTATCTTTTCTGATCGATTAAAATTGTTTTGTTTATTTGGTGTGCTAACTGAAAAAAAAAATAGTAACTGTAGATACATGATTTTTTCACTAGAAGTTTATACACTAAAACCTCTTAATAGGAAAGAAATCTACCCATAATACTCGTAATATACAGTCCCGTACAATGTATACATAACATATATTTTACGTTTTACACTATAATGGAAACTCCTTTATAACAGGAAAATCTGTTGGTACCTACCAAGCGATTCCGTTCTAAGGAGGTTTCACTGTATGACCATTTTCTACTATCTATATAATTTTCAAAATATTTTAACTCTGAGGCATTAATAGGCTAACAAATTTTCCATTTTTATTAGTTTTTTAAAAATTAATGTCGGTAAAATGTGTTTGCTCTTTCAAAATTCTTGAAAATTGAATACAAGGTTTCTCAAGTTGTTATTAGTGTAATTATCAACCCAAAATAATTTTTTATGAGCGTCTGACGTTAGTATTTTGATAATTTCGTCAAAATCATGAAAATTTGTAAATTATTTTGTACAGTTAGACATTTTTTAAAAATGTTCTCTTCATACCTACCATTTGAAAATGTAAAAGATGTTTCCTCGTAAGTTTTTCTGTCACATACATTTCAAATTATATTGCAGTTAAAATGTGTAAAATATTTAATTTTCATAGCTAAGGATTGAAAACAAGGTTTCTCATAAATACTACGGTTACCTAAAGATCTGAAAAATGTAGAATTAGTACAGTTTTTTTTTCTATAAATATTTTAAGTTCAGAGTTCGACGATTTTAGGTATTTTGTTGTAATTTAAAAATATTAATAGTATGGCACTTGAAAATGTTGAAGTATAAATTATTATAATTTCAAATTAATTTTGTTCGGAAAACTTAATTGGCCTACTGTCGTATGACCGTATGTCTTGTCCAATAGTAAAATTAATTACTTCAATAGCAATAATATCATATAATATAAGTAATTTAAGCTGACCGGCCCAGAATCGTAAAATGATACAATAATTTAATATCATTGAATTCATATTGAAC